TTACTATTTTGCCCCACACCCATGGTAAGGTATCATCCCCAAGAATGTTTCCAACCAAGGGGTTTTTCCCCGGGTTCAAGAATAAAGTGGTTGAACTGAATAATATATACTACTTTATCCTCAAGTGGATAAAATTTTGGGAAAATTTACGATGGGGGAAAGGTATGATATCAAATGATCTTTGACCACTAAAAATTCTTCATGAATTTTGATGAATACCACATGATAGGTCGCCACTTTTGTGATACTAGTTGATTGGTTATTAGTTTTTCCGGCATCGCGCTTTTCCAATGTCATCGTTAAACCCCTACACGAATACGCATAATGCTTACAAAGTTAAAATTATATAACTAGAATCCCATAGAAGAAGTTAACTTAATGTGCAAGATAATAGGGGCGCTATTGAGCTGAGCTGAGCCAAACATTGGCATGTTTTGATTTGGCTCAACTAAAATACTATTAGGTTTGAGTTCGATCTTGAGTTCAACTTGAAAGCTCAAAAATAAATATATTTGTATTATTGTATATTATATATATGATATTTTTATAATATATAGTATATTCTTATTCTATATGGAATGTAAAAGTATGTTTTTATATTCTATGTAGTATGTAATGTGTTAATGTGTTAATCGAGCTAAGCTTGAGAGTTTTCGAGCCAAACTTTTTATTTGTTGAGCTCGAGCTCAAATAGCTAATCGAGTTTGAATCTTGGGGTATAGGTGATGCAAACTTATCCCAAGGTTCAAACTCGAATAGAATTGAACTCGAATTGAGGCTAATTGAATTCGAGCTCGAACTATTCAATTAGAGCTCAAGCTCAAATAACTAATCGAGTTTGGACCTTAGGGTATAGATGATGCAACCTTACCCCAAGGTTCAAACTCGAATCGAGGCTAAACGAATTTGAACTCAAAATATTATATTAGAGCTTGATTCGATTACAACCTTACGAGATAGCTGTTTGCAAAATATAATTTTGTATTACATTTCAATTAAATCTAGAAACATTAATTTTAATATAAATTACATGTAAATCTTTAGTTTTTTTGGCTATAGGTATAGCCGTATAGGTGATGCAGTTCTGTCCTTAGAGCTAGGTGCTATGATAGGTTCACTTGAGGCCGGCTGGCACACAATGTGGGATAGCTTGTATTCCATAGTTTGAACCCACACGGAGGATGCCTAGTGACTAGGCCCTGTTCGACACATCTTTTCACACTAGTTGTCAGATTTTTAGAAGCCCAACGGCCCGTGTTTTTTGTCTTTCTCATTTGGTTGGGAAAAAATTCAATCACCGAAAGACGCAACCCTGAAAAGACACGAAAAACCCATTTCAGGCTATTCTTAAAAAGCTTCATTTGAAGTTTTTCGACTTATTTCATTTCGTCTTCACACAGAAAGATGTACCTCCAACTAAACGGACTATGGGCTGCCAAGATCTTTATGTAAAAATCCACTACGTCTTTTGGCTGTCAAATCTTACAGAAGATCTTTCAAAGAAGACTTCCCAGACAGCACCTAACTCAACACCAAGTGAATTGGCAACCTACACTTACGACCAAACCATGCCTCAATTATATTTCTGTATGAGTCGGTATCAGTGTGTATCAATTTGTTTTGGCATGTATATTGATGCCTTGAAAATTGAATATAAGGTTCAGTTTGAAAAGAGTACAAATACAAATATGTACAATACAAATACAAAATGCAGGGTTTTGCACTCTACATATTTGTATTTGTACTCCTTCCAAAATGAGTTTACGTTTCTAAACTTGGGATGACATAATATGATATGCTCTTGCCTTCAAATTATGTCCACTCATTAGAAAATCATTTAGGACAATGAGCTGAACAAAAGATCTGGATTGAATTCAATCTGAACCTGCTTTTTTTTAGATTGGTAAGTGGAATGAAAGAAATGGTGCCATGACTACCTTTGAAGTTAAAGAGGCGGTTCTGATAACTTGGTTAACATCATGGAGTTTACTTTTGCTCCAGTAATGAAGGCTGTGTTTGGTTTCAGTGTAATTTTATTTGCACTAATACAAATGCTTGGGAGTATAAATGAAAATGTTGCAAATTCTGATTTAATTTTATTTTGGGTTCTACTTAATTCTACTTCAAGTTTTGATTTTGCTTCATTTGCATTGCAGTCAAATAAAATAAGGTAAATTTTGAAATAAAAATAAATCATAATTTGCATCAAAATCATTTGCACTACCATGGTTTTGCATCAATTCAAATAAATTCGCATTGCAACCAAATACAGCCGAATGAACAAAAGTTTTTTCAGAGTGGAGGAGGATCCTGATTGGCATTGGATATCCCTTGAGACTGGGGGAACACGAAAAAAATGGCACCCAAATAGCTGAATTCACTGGTTTGGTCAGTTGATAGACCCAGCTTTCTGAAGTACTTACCACAATGAATCCTATCCCCTTCATTCCAACATCCCAAGCCCAATTTTTCTAGATCATTCTACATTAGAAGATGCAGAATTTCTACTTGGCATAGTATGAAAGCTAGTCTCCATTTTACTACAACTAGTAATTAAGCACATGCATTGCACGTAATAAATTAGATCACTGACCCACAATCTAGATAATATGGTTAAATATTATAGTCGGAGTCCACTGTACATTTATTGTTTAATTATGACATCCTGGGTTTCTTTGAAAAATTAGATCACTAACCCACAATCTAGATAAGAAAATAGCTTTGCTTTAGGATTAGTTTTAAATTAGGAAAAATTATAGTCGGAGTCCACTGTACATTTAAAGTTAGGCTATAAGTTGGTTCATAAACCAACAAAACCTTGACAATTGACTCACACTTTAAATTATAAAAACCCTTGCCATGTCATTGGAGGCTTATGTGGCTATTGCTAACATAGGACTCTTAATCCATGTTGGACACAACAAAAAGCTTACACTAAAATTGCCCTTTAATATGAGGTGATTAGAAGATATAAAAAAAAAGAGTTTTTAGTTCCTCTCTCTCTCTCAATCTTCCTCACACTCTTTCACTCACAATGTTTATCTACTCAATGACTATGTAATTTGAAAATAAATAAAAATGGTTTTTGGCTTTTGTATTTACATTCTCTATATCAATTTGCTCCCTTAGTTTTTCTCCCGCTCCCTTTCTCGGTTTTTTATTTCCTTACACACTTATATGGTATTAATCAGATTGTATAAAAGAACATAATACCAACTTGGTATAGTTCAAAAATTATTACACCAATTTAATAAACATTCACAAGAAGCTCTTGGCTATTGAAACTTATACCAATTGGAGAACATTAGAGATTGAGGGAAAATGAGATATTGACCGAGAGGGAAAAGAATGAGAAGGATTGAGGGAAAACAATAGAGAGAGAGAGGTTTTGATTTGGCTATAGACCAAAGTTGAGAGAGTGAGAGAAACAGAGGGAATGAGAGATCGAGAGATGACCGTGAGAGTGAGAGATAAGGGAGGGAAATCGAGAGACAGAGGGAGTGGGAGGGAAATTGAAAACTATTTTCAGTATAAGTTTTTTTGTGTCCAACATGGACTAAGAGTCCCATGTTGGCAATAGCCACATAAGCCTTCGATGACATGGCAAGGGTTTTTATAATTTGAAATGTAGAGCCGATTGTTAGAATTTTGTTGGTTTTTGGACCAACCTACAACCTAATTTTAATTGTACAACTGACTTTGACTATAATTTTCCCTTTTAAATTATATATTTCACTTACATTATATAAAATATTTTTACTTATCATACTTAAATTTTTTTTTGTTTATGGTATCATTTGACTCAAACCACTAACTCACCATCTAAAAATAAAAATTGTTTGATTTCTAAGTTTTCATTAAATTTTGTATTACATTTCCATCATTGATAAAATTATTTCTTATGTATAAAACTTATTTTTGTTCAATATAATCAATGCACAATATTAGAAATGTATCCAATATTTTATTTTTTTATAAACATATAACATTAGATATGTGTCCAAAATTTTCTCTATCTTTTGTTTTATTTTTGTGATTCATTGTATTTTTTATTATTAAAAATTTTATTATTTGACTATGACATCATTTCATTTCTAGGTATATTTTGAATTTGGCATTCCATTTTTATCATTAATAAAAATACTTCTTACATTTCATAGTTATTTATTTTAATTTTTTATTATTTAATTATGACAATATTTATTAATTCATTTGACCCCAAATGGTCGAATTGCTTACCCACCACCGGGAGGGAAGAAAATGGTTTTGTTTTCAAATTACTCTTCAAAATATTTATTTTTATACTATTAAAATTAATATCGTGGATTTAATTACATGAATTTAATGATGAGAAAAATACATCTTAAATATAATGAGAGAGAATAGTAAAATAGTTTCATTGTATTTTTATGTATGTTAAAAATGCATCTTAAATACATTGTATTTAAGATGTATGAGAAAAATACAATCTTAAATATAATGAGAGAGAATAGTAAAAATACATCTTAAATACATTGTATTTTTATCATACTTATTATTGTTTAATATGTATGTTAAAAATGCTTTCAATTATTTTTAATTTCTATTTTTGTTCATTTTATCTATTTTTTTTTAATTTTATTATTTAATTATGGCAACATGGATTAACCCATTTGACCCAAAATGATTTAATTTTTTCCACCACCTAGATGAAAGCACTATTTGTGCTATGTAGATTTTAAAAGTTTTAGCTTTTATGTTATTGGAATTATTAATTTATTAAGTATGGATTTAATTAATAAAATGTAATGATGAGAAGAAACAAAAATGACTTAAATATATGATTCAATGAACATGAATACAAGTTAATAACTTAAATGTTGGATTTAATGAGAGAGAATTAAATTACCTTTTTTCAACTCATTTAATATCAAAAACCGATTACCCAATTTGCCCTCATTTTTTATCAATAAATTTAAATATAGATGGATAAATTTTGTCCTTAAAAAATTCTAGAAATATTCTTGAAGCCATTCATGCTTTTTAAAGTAGTATAGATCTTACAACTAAAATAGAATTGCAACAATACATTTTCATGTGATTTGTGGAAACCTAATTAATTTTAACCTCAAATTAGGAAGACAAAAAGGAATTAAGAAAAACTGATAAAGAAAAAAAAAGCACTGTTACCCTAAAGGAGACACCAAAAATTCAACTTCTTTGGTAAGAGAGCTAATAACATGTCTTTGCATCTTCACCATCTTGTCCACCCCACATCCGCACACGTTTTGATGCTTCTGCCGCCTGCAATTTAATCTTCTTAATTTAAATGCAGAACCATTTTTTAAATTTAGCAAAATCTTAGCCATAAAATGGTATACATCTAGGGATCAGGACACAACTTCCAATCGATTGATAATTTCTTGCAGAAAAATGAAGGAACGATTGGGTTTGAATTATCAAATTTTTAATTTTTCCCTTGACCACTCTGTTTTTCCAAATTCTAATGACACTGGACAAGCAAACTGTTGGATCATTTAAAAATATCAAAGTGCTGGCAAGGAAACCCCTTTACAATGGGCTGATATGATGGTACTCCCTCTAAGTTGGGCAAACCCTACATTGCCTACCATTCTTTGGAGATTGGATTCAGTACTTATAAGACCGTACTCACACCGTTCTCACAGGCACTTGCAAACCGTGTATTGGGAAACGGGAATATCTCCGTACTTGTATGTTTTTATTCATGGAAAGATATTCCCAATGCACAGCTACAATTGGTTGTGTGAGGACGGTGTGAACACAGTCTTGTGAGGAGTGAGGACTGAATCTGAGTTCCATTCTTGGCCTAAAATAAATTATAAATTCCCAATTTATTTTATTTTCAAGAAAATGAGTGCTAAATATAGTAGGGACTAGGGATCTCACATCACATGAAAGCCCTTTCATCTGCCCACTGATGTTTCAAAAATCAGGTCAGACATATTGAACCCAGAAAATTGGATACTGGGAAGCCCGGTTCTGGAGAAGTTATAGCTTCAAAACAGCTAAATGGTAATTCAATTGGGAACCAGATAGCTTTCCTGTTCATACTCTGGCCTGATTTTCTGGACATTGATGATCTCACACTCCCCTATGTTTGGAGTACCCGTTTGAAGTGGCAGGTATGGGTTAGTTTCAAACATTTGATCAAGTTGAATTGAATTATTAGATTTAGATTTTCCAAGGGTTTTGACATTGTTGATGACTGCTGTTACTGTTATTAACATATTACTATTTTTGTTCCTCGTATAGAGAAAGGCCATTAGAGGGTGGGCCTTAGCACAACGATTGGTTTTCTCCATTGTGACATGGGTGACCAGGGTTCAAATCTTGGAAACAGCCTCTGTGTGTGTGTGGGGTAAGGCTTTATACATCTATATGGAGTCTTGGGAGAGATGGACTGGATTACAGACCCAACCTTTGGTTTTGTTTTGGTGAACAAAGAGGTTCTCACTTCTCAGACTCAAATCTGTGCTCTCAAGCTTGGTAGCCCAAGATTTTATGATAAAACCTATTTTTATTCCTCATATATCATTCATAAACAATTTATGTGCATATTATATAGCTAATAAATATTACCTCCTTGTTCCAATTGGTTTTCCAGATGACAAACAAGAGTATCAATGTTTGCAATGCCGTGCCACAAATCATGCCAGACCAAATTCCCTAGAACCAAAGCATCTATTAGTATTGAAACTGTTAGCCAAAGAAGAAGACCAGCCTAAACAATTTTTATTGCCTTCATAATTACATGCCACAGGTAAAATCTATGAACAGATTAATCTGAATCATATTAATTCACTAGCTGAAAGAAAAATAGTGAACTGGTGGTTCCAAGCAAACAAGTCAGTTCCATTAAGTATCATGAGTAACTGACTGATATATCCAAATTTCCTATCAAACCACAAGAAATAGATTCTTCATAAAGTCCTTACTAAGATATGAAACATAGCAATAGCAGAGCATTTAAGTAATCATAAAACTTTATTAGAATAAAATCTTTAAATAGAACGAATATTACTTCTATTTTAGATCTTGATTGACGTAATAACACAGATAGCAGTACCAGCTTGAGCTTAATAAAAGAGCATAAATAATCTGAAGGAATAAAATGGCCTACACTCATTAAACTGTGTTCTTTGTACAAATTGCCACTGGTGAACTGCAAGCCAAAACTTGAACCAAGCTGATTGGCTAGAATTTCGAAAAATATTAATAGCAATAGCCTGAATCCTTGGAACTGTTTTGCTATTGAAAATAGTGTTGCTTTTATATGTTCAATTGCTAGTACCTGATTGGTTCTAATAACCAAATAAGCACTGCACATTCAACTTTGTTTGTAAGAAATGTAGTCATAATTTCCTCTAACTAGCAAAAATGGATAATTTGCTAAGCATCCGATCTTTATTTTATTTAATTATTATGTTTTTGTGTGTCTTGAGGCTTTGGGGCAGGGGCGGGGGTAATTGTCTGCTCTAGAAAACTTTCAATTGATCCCAAATCAATTTCTCCCTAATCCCTATACGGTAATGGTATCAAAATAAATGGCACTTACCTTCACTCCCATATTAAATTTGTAGCCCAAAAGGAACCCAAGAGGAAGCCCAAAAATGTAATAACAGGCCAAGTTAATATAAGCCACCAATGCCTGCCACCCAGCACCAACAGCAACACCTGTAAGAGCCCATAACAGATAATTGAATCTTACTGGGAAAAAAGAAAAAAAAAAGAATGTAATTGAAGTAAATTGTAGGCAAAACCAAAGTGATCCAACTTTTCACAGTGGTTATATTAAAAATTTAAAATAAAAAAAAATAATACACTATGATTTTTTGGGTGTTGGAATAGTTAGGTTAGTGGCTTAGTGAGTCAGAGGTTGCTAAAGATACAGGGTGGGGAGAGGGCAGGATGCACATATTAGGCTCAGTAGTCAGACCATGGAGAGTCTGCAGTTCCATGGGTTTGATCTTGCATCTTCACTGTGGGATAGATGTCAATGCAACCAAATGAACTGTGGGGTCATTAGCACATTGTAAGATGGGGGATTGAAATATTTAAAAGAAACCCGACCGGTAATCAATTAGAGGCCACTTCCATTAGTCAACAACACCTACCACTCAACAAGTATCATTTCAATTTAGGGCTTTCCTGATAAAATGTAACAGGAAATTGTAAGCATTAATTTCTGAACAAAACAGCTTTTTAGTGTCCAGTGCTAATATGCAAATTAGAATGGGAGTGACCCACCATGTACAACAAGCATTTTGATTTGGGTTTAATGGCATCTTGCTAACAAGCAAATATATAGTAGGAATGCTTGATTACATTGTTTCACCTGGCACCCCCTCTCCCAACACTTGCTATTTTAAGAGAAAAAGTACCTGATATTACCGGTTGTACGCTGTTTAGCAACAAGGTCACACCAAGAAGAAAGGCTAGGTGAGAGACAGCACGCTGCAGTTCCTTGCTGCTAGTAAAAATGACAGTAAAATAGTCTTTGGCAACGAGGACAACAACCATGAAGACAACCCCAATAAGGAGTGACTGAACAACCGCAACAAGGACTGAATATTTGGCACCTCTAGGACGTCCCGATCCAAGTTCGTTTGATACACGAACACTGAAAGTTGGAAAAGAAATATGAGTTTAGTAACAAAGAAAGATAATAAGAGAATTGAACACAAAAAATTGATGAAACCCCGATCATGAAAACTTGCATGTTATTAGAACAAACACAGAAATGGAGATCACACACTTCCCACTACGACCAATTCCACCAGCGAATGAAAGCAGACACTCTCTAGTCTACCCAGATTCAAAACTCCCAAAATTGTGCACCCTCCCCGACCCACCAGGAGAAAAAAAAAAAGGGAAGGAAATACCACCAGTACATGCGACAATTAAATAAAATCACAATTTACCTTATAGCAGCATTGATTCCAATGAAGACCATGGCTTCCCAACCATTGAGATTCATGCTGAAATAGAGAGCAAAAAGACAGAGAAATCAGATTTTCAACCAAAGATAGAAGTAAGAAGATGAATGAATGCCATGGCAAAACCTAGTAAAGTTTATTAAGCTCACCAGATAGAGATGGACCCAACTGCTATGACTGCATTGTGGAGATGGCCAGTGAGAACAACCAGAGTCATCATATACCATATTTCTAGGCAAAGCATGACAGCAGAGGCAAGAGAGAGCTTAACAAAGGCCCAGATCTCCTTGAATGCCAACCAAGACAACCCCTTCCATCCATCCTTACACCAGTGCACCACATAAACCACCTGGGCGATGGAAACCACCCAGCACGAGATGTCGAATGCTATAGCCGCACCAGTAATGCCCCAATTGAACACATATATGAAGAGCCAGAGCAGGAATAAATGTACAATAAGATCCACGAATCCAATCCATGCGAGGACTGTAACCTTGCTTTGGGCTTGTAGGAACTTCTGGGTGGGGAAATTAACGGCAAGTGAAAACAACTGAGGGATTATCTGGATTGTGAATTTCCCGGCAAGTTGGGCAATGTCATCTTCTTGCCCCAGGAGCTTTAGGATTGGGGTGGCAAAGATGTAGAATGGAGAAAGGATGATGCATGAGACTGCTAGTATGATCCATGAGCGTTGCATATAGACGCCAAGCATGTACACCTGCCCAGCGCCGAACGCCTGGCCGCATAGTGTCTCCAGGGCGCTTCCCATGCCAAGCTGCCATCAGTTTTCAATAACAGTCAATAGGGAAACGGAATTAAACAAGTGGAGATGCAATCTCACGATTAAACAACAAACTTTATTTATCGCCATGCCCGAAATGCCAAATCGCTTGCTGCTACGATCCTACAACTCTAATGACTCTACGAATCGAAAACTCGTTAGTCTCAATTCTCAAATCTCAATCCATGGTACTCAATTGGTAAGTGGTAACAACCTACTCTCTCACCCGTCACCCCAACTTTCTGAGAATCCCAAGAAGAATTTATGGTGGTCGGCGGCTTTTATACGAGAGTAGAGAGTAATCAATTCACTGTAGTAGTCTGTAGTTGAGGACAGCTGGTCGGAGAGTCACATCTGCGCCTCACAGTGGGCGGTCGCAGATGGAACGGGATCTGCTTCTGCTCTTCACACATGCGCCTCACAGTTACATCCACCGTGCATTGAGTCTCGTTGCGGATCTCCAATTCTAAGCAATTGGATTTATCGTTCGAGTCAGGATCTGCTGCTACTCATAAAGCGCGCCTTACACCGACCTTTCAAAGCACAGATCACCTCACATCGTCCGTATTTATAATATTTATAAGTAGAAAGATATTCTTAATGCAGGGTGAGATGTGCCGCTTTATGAATACGGATCCCAATTTCTTATCGTTACGTTAATGCATCAAATTAGCGGAGAAGTAGGAACAGACCTAAAATCGCAACAACCAACACTGTATATATATATATATATATATATATATATATATATATATATATATATCAACGCCCCCTCGTGAATTCCGAGCTGATACTAACACTGGGCTGAACTGCGTTAAACCTATTTACGTGAGACTCTCACGGGATCTGCTTCTCACAGCATATTATTGGAAATCACATCTCATGATAAAAAAAAGTTGTTGGGTAGAGATTATAAAAAATAGGAAGAATTGACGGTTCAAGGTCAGACACTTTGTAGGCCCAAAGTATTATTGGAAATCACAAATCTGCATCATTGAGCTTGTTCTTAATTTTCCTTAAAATTACACTACATTTTTAATATGGGCTTGCAAATAAAATCCTAACAAAAAGCTTGCAAATAAACACACATATATATATATATATATATATATATCTGCTACTCACACATGGGCAATGCATTTTTGACAAATCAGTCACATCTCCTAAAATGATAACAAAAAAGTTGTTGGAAAGAGGAGGTTATAAAAAAAGTAAGGAGAACGACGGTTAAAAAAAGGGTAGGTGCCATCTCAGAATTAATTATTGTTAATTCACAGGGAAGCATTAGTATATAAAATAGGGTATTTGATATTTTAAATTTTTATAAATCTGCAATGCACGTGTAAGTCTGTGTTTATTTGCGATGGAAAACTTGATTGATGTAAATTTCATTAATGGAATCTTTTAAAATCTCTGAACCATTGAGCATAAAAAAAAGTGATTATCGATTCAATATTATATTGAAATTGATATAAAACCTTGTTATAAGTGACGTCTTACATTAATTAATTTACAGATATACAGATGCCAACCGATGCTGACGTTTTACATAAATCTTGATTTACACCGCAAATAAATACCAACAAAACCGAACCGGTGGTGAGGTTTTACAACGCAAATAACGCAGCGTAAATAATAGGTGTGTTTGATTTGTCAAAAATTAATATAAAAGGGACAATTATGGAAAACTATTCAAAAAATTCTTCAAAAACTCCTTTGCAACTGCACACACACACACAAAATGATTTCTTCAGTTTTTCTGAAGTCTGAACTAAACATGAAAAAAAATAAATAAATAAATAAAAATGTAAAGAAAACAATGAAGGTCATCGATCAGATTCATGGAAAGAAATCCTTTTCGAGAGTTACTCGGTCGACAAATTCGACTAACGTGTAGAACAGAATCCTTAGGTTATTGGTGCCAACAAACTTTTGGGCAAGCATCGAAAAATGCAGATTTTGGAGCCTAGCTTTGTGAAACAACAAAAAATACCACTATATCTATGGTATAAGGAGTAATGTCAAGCTGAAGATTGGTTTATGAGAAGCGAAAACAGAGAAAGCAGAAGCCACGGGGGGAGAGAGGAAAGAGAAAGATTTAAAGAGATTTTACCAGAAAGCCGAAAGAGAAGTTAGAGACGACAGACAAGGCAATAGCCACGGCGGAGAGCTGCACGTCTCCAAGATGGCCGACGAAGATCTGCGTAAAAGAGTTGACCCCATATAGACAGAGTATGTTAAAGACGATTGGTGCCGCAATGACCCATAGCTTCGTTGATTCCGTCCAACACAGAGCTTTGGCATCAGCGAAGCTCCTGACCGGAGGATAGTCACCCTCATCATCACCAGATTCGACGATAGCTGGCGGCGAGTGATGAAGTTCACCGGACTCGATGTTGGCGCCGTTTATTAACGGCTCCTCCATCTCCGGCGAAGAACCGGATTCTTCCCTGGGCGACGACGATATGCTGCTGCTGAAGCTAGCCGAGGCCTCGTTATGTTTCTCCCTCCGTAATGAAATGCCCTTTTTATTATTATATATAGTCAGGCTTATGATTGTACAGTTATACCTTTTTCATTTAATTCAAAGAAGAAGAAACAACATGGATGGAGGTTAGCTTCTGCCTTTGGTGTTTTTGTTGGACAGTTTAGATAATAAAGCTTCAAGTATGCTACTGCTGGGTTAGTCCCTTAAACAGTGGGGAGTATGGCACGCGCCACGCGGTGGTTATACTTGTAAATTCGTTGTGTTTTGTGATTGCCATATTTAGTGCAGTGAGCTGTCACCTCTGAGGTGTAATTAACGGTAAACTTGGGAGTTGGGAACTACCTCCACTGCTCCACTTGGGATTGAGACGAGAGAGAGAGACGTGGTTGAAGCAGGATCGTACAGACAAACACAAGAGAATTTATATTTGCTGCTTCATTTCAGTGAATACGATATCGTGCATTAATAATTCTGAAGGCAAACAGTGGTCTTCGCTCTTCACGGGAAGTTGTACCAAACCCCATCATCACTTTTTAATTCTTTTAAATTCATCATAATTTTTCAAAACGTTCAAAAACTCATCATAATTTTTTAAAACGTCTAAAATTCATCATCTAACATAACTTGACTAACGGACATCGCTAATTTACTATCATTGAGAAAGCATTGGCCGCTATTAACGGTGAGAAATAATATGTATATTTCTTTTTCTTTTTTAGTAAAAGGCGCTCTCTTCAGCCTTCGGTCTTTAAGTCTTCTTAGGAGTTCTCTCGCTCGCTCGCTTTGTTGCCAGTGACTGGGTGTAGACTGTAGAAGATCAAGGAAGAGCCGAAAATAAACGAGAGAATAAAAAGAAAATCAAAAGGAAGAGAGAAAAGAGAATGAATATCCAAGAAGATAAAGGCAGATTGATTTGCATTGCATTTGCTATTGCTTTGATTTGCTTCCTGGTGTCTACTGGAGTTGGACTTGTTTCGTCTAATCTCTCCAAGACGAGTGACGACGGAATAACATAAATTCGGTAGGTTTCTCTTCTCTCAACTCCAGTACTGCCCCCTTCTCCTGTTTCGATCCGATCTATTATGCCCTTTTCTGAAAAGTTAAAAAAAAAGAGAGAGAAAAAAAATTTCCCTTTTCGAGCTCTGAAGCGTCTCATTTTACTTTCTAGCCATGAAAGATCACCCCCTCTGAATTACCCTTCTTGCTTGATCCTGTACAGAAGAATCCCTGTCTTGATTCGTTTACTTGCGAGGACGATTTGAGTTGAATATTGTGTGATTGATGGCTACAGCTCCAGAGCTATGATTGAAGAGTTGAGTTGCAGCACGTCAGCTTCGACGCCAAATTGCTTCAAGGAATTCCTGCCAGATGCAATTCATGCTTCCTCCAAACCTCATGATTCTGCTTCCGTTCCGGGTTCTAACTTTTCCCCCGTCTCAGCAAATCCTCGTTCTTTTCAACCACTGCCACGGTCTTCTCCAAAACGATCGAGTAACGGAGTCTTGTCCACTTCATATGTGACCGCAATGGATCACGAGACCAAGATTACTAACTATCCAACAGCTCCAGCTATGCATTAGAAGCATTTAATGGAGGCTCTCAGTCCAGAATAGCAGCTGTTAATAAATGATCTTTTAGTAATTACCAATGAGAGATCTCCTCCATTATCAATGAAGGCTCTCACACAGATTTGGCAATCACTAAATTAGCAAAAATTAATTAGAAATCTTTGTACATAGGTCAAGCAAAAATTCTTAGTTTCTCTTTTCTACAATTTTATTTCCACAAGACAATCCAAGACCTTTTGCAGATGGAAGAAGTACCTAGTTCCTTGAAAAAATCTTATAAATTGAACAGAGGGCAACCTTTACTAGTGGACATAAAGGATAGCAAGATGGTTGGAGCAACCACTCAGGAGGAGGTTCTAACATAAATGAATCCGGAGCTGGAACCTTGCAACAAAATAACATCGATGATTCAAAGACTCCTTAAGTCAACTTGCTTGGCGAAGCAGGGGCAGTTTGGTCATGAAACAAGCATTTAGGTTGACATGGACCATTTGGGTCACTGAACTTTAACGGCGTTCTAACGGATGGTGCGTTTTAAAAAATAAAATCTTAGTGACATGGTGAGTTTTGGACGTTTTGAGAAGTTATGGTAAGTTTAAGAGAATTCCTAAAAAGTGATGGTGGGTTTTAGACAATTTCTCTATCCTGCCCTAGCCAATCGTAAGTAGTTAACGGTAAGGGAAAATTCCCGATTAGTACCCTGTACTTTAGGCCTGGTGTCACTTTGGTCCTCGAACTTTAAAATGCACCAATTTAGTACCTGAACTTTCAAAATAATCAATCCAGTACCTACTGTTATTGAGTACGTTAACAAACCGTTAAGTGGAATTTGAAAAGACGCAAATGCCCTTTAAATGTCATCTAATTCTCTTTATCAACCATCTAAACGTTGATAAAAAGTGAACAGTCTCAAATCCTTGCCTCTTTTATTCTCGAGACCCCAATTTGTTGAATAGAAGAGGTAAGGATTTGGGACTGTTCACTTTTATCAACATTTGGATGGTTGATAAAGAGAATTAGATTACATTCAAAGGGCATTTGTGCCTTTTCAAATGCCAGTAAACAGTTGGTTAATGAACTGATTAACAACAAATACTGGACTGACACATACTAAATTATTGCATTTTAAAATTCGAGGACCAAAGTTACACTAGACCCAAAATACAGGGTACTAGTCGGGAATTTTCCCATAACTTAAGAAAGAAAGGTTTTCTATGCTCTTATCTGGGTTAACATAATCACAACACCAACCACAGGCTCAATGCCCACAGCTCCACCTGTTTGTGTGGACCATGGCTAACGCTTAGTCAATGCAGAAATCCCTCCCAATTTCCCAAACAGGATTTAAGCCAAATTGTAAATTTTATTTGGTTTGACATGTTGTGAGGATTATTTAATTGTTATTTTATAGTTGCTGTTAGTGGGTTGTCCGCTTAAGATGTTGTGTTCATCTTCTTCTGACTTTGCCCTTTACCCTGTTCTTAGTTCTTCACTGCCCACTTGGGTTTTCCGTGAATATCCCAACATGTGTTATGTGTATGTCGTGAGCGCCGACAGTGGGTACAAAACAACTTCTTTATCATCAGCCTTCTTGGTGTCACTTTTCTTCCCCATGTTGTTACTACTCATTGCAACCAAAGCTACTTGTTGCTCCCCCTCGGTTGTAACCATCACACTCCGCTACTTTCTTCCGATTGAACAAGGGAGTATACCTCGTGAACCAACGACAACTCTTTGCTTCCTAAGATCTGAACTCTCAAGGGTTCATAGACAGGGTTTAGTCCCATCAAGAAAGGCAAACACTCGCTGTTGAGAAACCAACTTCCTATAGGCCTTAGCATCGTCATCATGTTTCCACTCTATAGCCTGATAATGATCCAATTCTTTCCATATGGAAGTAAGGGTTGAATAATAGGAAGACAAACTACGATTTCCCTGTTTACAGGTTGAGGATTCAGCTTGCAACTGGTAACCTTGGCATAATGCCTTTTTGGCCTGTTCCCAGATCTCACTAGTGGTGTCTGCCCACATAAAGTTCTTCTTCACATCAGGTTCCATGGCTGCAAGGAGCCAAGACATCACCATATTGTTTTCTTGGTCCCACCTATCATGTTTAGTTGTCTCACTCTTGGGTTCTTTCACCATTCGATTTATGTAACCATCTTTTCCCCTTGCCGTTACATAAAGTTTTACACTTTTAGCCCACTCCCGGTAGTAGTGTGGAAGAGGAGAAGCATGAATTGTTTCAAAGAAGGAGAGTAGTAGTGTGGAAGAGGAGAAGCAGGTTTAGGTCCACCAAGTCTCTCTTCCTTCTATTCCGGACCTTGCTCCCTTTCGTGTCTTCCAACGTACACGTCGTGGAGATCAACAATGTGATAGAGATATGGAGCAACCAAACATTGAGTAACCGATACCGTTAGACTCCCAGGAGGTAAGTCTAATCCCTGTTGCACCTATTGATACCCCTACTCCTACTGTGAATGACCTTAACATTCCTATTGCTGAAAGAAAGGGAGTCAGGTCATGCACTACCAAACACTCCATTACCCAGTTTGTCTCCTATGATCACATTTCCCCCTCATACCGAGCCTTTCTATCCGTAGTTGATTGCATCCCTGTTCCCAGAAATGTTGCAGAAGCCTTAAAATGCCCCRAATGGACAGATGCCATGAAGGAGGAGATTAATGCTCTTCATAAAAATCAAACTTGGGAATTGGTGGATCTTCCAAAGGGGAAAGACCCCGTGGGGTGTAAGTGGGTGTTTACAGTTAAACACAAGGCAAACGGAATAGTTGAAAGGTACAAAGCAAGATTAGTAGCCAAAGGGCACACTCAAGTGTACTGGGTTGACTATGATGAGACTTTTGCTCCAGTAGCTAAGATGAACTCAGTTAGGGTTCTCCTGTCATTAGCTGCTAACTTTGACTGGGAATTGCATCAACTGGACATAAAGAATGCTTTTTTGAATGGTGACTTAGAGGAAGAAGTATACATGGTTCATCCCCTTGGATTCTGTGCCAATGGAAGTGAAAATAAGGTGTGCAAGCTGAGAAAGTCTCTTTATGGTTTAAAACAATCTCCCAGAGCTTGGTTCAGTAAATTTCACATGGCAGTTCAGCAGGTGGGCTTCAAACAATGTCAGTCTGATCATACACTCTTCGTGAAGAGATGTCAGGAACAGGTTGCTGTATTGATAGTGTATGGGGATGATATCATCATTACAGGAAAGATTTAGATCCCTTGAAGTATTTCCTGGGAATTGAAGTCGCTTGCTCAGAAAATGGTATATTCATTTTTCAAAGGAAATACACCCTTGATTTATTACATGACATAGGCAAATTAGGTGCAAGTCCCATGGATGTTGACCACAAGTTGGGTGACTGTGATGGTGAACCTCTGAAAGATGTGAAACAGTTCCAAAGGTTAGTGGGAAAGTTGATTTATTTGTCCATGACCCGTCTAGGCATTGCCTATTCAGTTGGGGTTCTTAGCCAATTCATG